CTTGCCTGTAGCTTCACTGGTTTGGGGGATTCAGGCTGTTGGTTATAAATAAAAAAAAAAACATATAAATTGTTAAAGAATTATACAAAGTCTTGGCATATAAAGCGATGAATAATTGAGTAATACAGCTGCATATTTTTTGTCATGTTACCAAAACTTATCTCATCTGTCTGCAGAGACCCAGACAGTTAGAGGACTGAATCATTGGTTACTGCAGAGCGTAAAGTCAGGGATATTTGGTGGCTCTGCTGCAGGACTCACAGGAATGTTGTGGTCTCTTCTTCCTTTGTGGGAGGAAGCAACATGTGCGAGGTACTGGATGACCTTCTTGGTGTTTTCCGTCTTACCAGCTCCTGACTCGCCCCTGCAAGGCAAAGGAAGACAATCAATAGAGAAACAGGCCTTCCCAAATGAAGCCATATTAATAAGGTACCATCAGATAATCATTGCAGTTTTTTCTTATTGTTTTTTGCATATTTTTCGGGTATATAGCTCCACCTTAAAGATATTTGCCTCCCCGAAAAACAGATGTCAGCTATCATCTCTGTCTTTTTCTGCTGTATATTTTCTACGTTTTGCAGCTGTGGCTTCTGGCATTCTTCTTCCTCCTTTGCCACATAGATACACTGGCTTAGCAAAAATCCTCCAAAATGTTCCCAAGGCCTTGAAATCCCAAATCTTTGGCACAGCAGCTCAGGCTTAAAGCGTATCCGAGGTTTTACAGACAGTGCACATTTGCATAGGCCAACTATGTGCTAGATATTGTTTTGCTTTCACTCGGGCCATAATGGAAGTGTGAGAGGTGTTTAGTCCTTGACTTTGGTCAAAGGCCGATGTTTATGCTCCGTAAACAGGAAATACTGAACTCCTCTTCATTTGTGAGGCTAATAGTTAGCGTTTAAACAGTAGCTGCAATGATGTTGATCAGTAAATCTCACCAATATCAGATTTACTGATCAACATCAACCAAAACTGTTTTTTTATTCTTTTTTTTCCATACCCCTACTTCCCATAATCAGGACAAGAGTAGTGTTGTAAAAAAAGACAAAAAGTTAGGATCATTCCACCTCAAAATGCAGGAAATAGCATTTCAGAGAGTATAAATTTAATATTTTCCAGGGGGAGGATACCAACTTTATCTTCCCCCCAATGTTTTGGGAGCATCTCCACTGTGACGTTCCAAACTGATACAAACTCTGAGCGGTGAGTCCTGCTATGGCGGCAGATAGTAAATAAAAGTTGCAATTTTCAGCCACAAAGATGATGATCCTGTCAGAAGGACTGCCCTTAATTCAGTCCATGGATTCTAAAGGGATTTCACTGAACTACATTTTGTGTTCAGTAATTTATGAGGCAAAGAACGAGAAGGAACTAAACCAGGTGTTCAATACAGGGGCTGATTCAGGAAATTTGGGGCCCTAGGCAAAGACAGGCAGGG